TAATAGCAGTAAGCAAATAGTCACAGGCAGTAAATAGTAAGTAGATGATAAACTAGAATTGCATAGTGCGAAAAAAAGCATTCAGTGATTTTTGTGTCCAAATCAGTTTATGTGCGTGAATGTTTCAGAGGGAGAATTAATAAAGATAATAAAACAAAAACTAACCATAGTTCTCATAAAAAATATATATAGAACAATAATAGTAATAATTAATATATACTTTTCGTACACTTTTCACACAGACTTGAAGAAAAAACACAAGAAATAAAAGCAACAAAGACTATTATTATATAGATTTTATATAAAAGAATAACTATTTTATTTTTGTTGTGATTTCATATACAACAATAAAATAAACCAACCAACCACTCGAAGCCCATTATCCATTGATGTGATGCGTGTTTGTGTTTAGACAGTGACTGACTGATTTATTGATTGATTGGTTGATTGATTGGTTGATTGGTTGATTGGTTGATTGATGGATGGATTGATTGATTGATTGATGGGTTTAAAAATTACGCTTGAGCGATTATATCAACTACCACTTGAATGCTTGTTTTTCTCGTATATTATTTATATGTTGACTATACATAAACTGATTTGGACACAAAAATCACTGAATGCTTTTTTCATCCTCTTTATCGATTCTGCGTTTACATCTCCTGATCGTACCCGTACCTCCATACTCTTGCTCGACAATCACCTGACCCAGTGGCAAAAAGTTTACCAACCGGACTTAACGCCACCGAAATGACTAAAATAAATTTGGGAATTAATTAGACTCGAGGCAAAACAATAATATTGGCTACTCTGAAAAAAATATAAAAGGCAAAGTAAGTTTATTACAAACCTGAATTTTTGTGACCCTGTAACATGAATTGTGTTTGTGCGGTATTAGGATCCCAGAATTGTACACCGCGATCTTTGGATCCTGATACTACCCAGCGACCATCTGGAGAAACAGCTACTGATAACACAAAGTCCTATAAAGAATAATTATAAAAATTTATATCAATAAATTATATAACACCACTTATCTCTTCACGTGAGTTAAGCTGGAAATAAAAAAGTGAAAAACTAAACATACTTTATGTCCTGTGAATGTCATTTTGTGACTCTTTGAATTTGAAGATCCACTATTTCGTCCAGGATGACTCATGTCCCACAAGCGTAAAGTTTTATCTAAGCTACCAGAAACGAGTGTTTTACCATCGGGTGAGAAAGCAACAGAATAAACACTGTCCTTGTGTCCTTCCAAGCGTTCTAACTGATAGCCGGATCGAGCATCCCAGACGCGTACAATTTTGTCGAGCGAGCCAGCAGCGACGTATTGACCATCTGGACTAATTGCCACACTTGTGACACCAGCGTCCTTTTGACTGGCCTCTTCGATCGTTAACTTGAATAACTCTTCGCCCGATAACATATCCCAGACTCGAGCAGTCTTATCTCCTGAGCCTGACACGATATATCGACCGTCTCTTGAGAAATCTAGAGAATAGATATCTTGCTCGTGTCCTTGGAACATATTTCGGATTTTTTGTGTCGCTATGTCCCAAATCTAATTATTAATTTAGATAATAAAAAATACAGAAGTTAAGTAATTGAGCTTGAGAACAATCGTCATAAAGACGCATAAAATACCTACTCTTATTTGTTTATCTTCTGCTCCTGTTGCTAGATATTTGCCATCGGGACTAAAACAAACACTTCGAATGTATAGATCTCCAGTTTTATCGACATTGTCATCCGCAAGAACACTAATAATTCAAAAATAGAAAAAGTATTTACTAAGTTGGACTGATACAAGTCAAAGTATGCAGTTATAATATAGATTTTCTCAACGTCATACCTCATTTTTGAGCCAGTCTGTACATCATAGATTTGAGCACTACGATTACAACCAGTTGCCAGGAATCGTCCATCAGCACTGAATTTTACACAGCAGACAACACTATTATGATCCAGCGTGTGTACTAAGTCAACATCAAGAAGCCTATGCACTTTTGGATTGAAACTATAAAATGTATCAAATAATCATTTTAATATAAGTTTATCACGAGACCTATGTTAAAAAATTTGCATACATTGCAAACCAATCCTGTCCTTCTTTTTTGAAAGCAGGTGAAATTGCATCGGGATCCATATCACCTAATCCGCTGGTTGCCCCTACTGAACTCTGTTTTATTTGTGGTGGACGAGATCCTTGAACACTCGAAGCATTAGAATTTGGATTATTCTTTCGTTTGCTTACTGAAGAAGGTGGACCTCCATTTTGTGGGACGCTTGATGGTTGAGGACCTTCTGGGCCAAGATTTTGAGTAACCTATTATAAGAACAAATAGTTTATTATAAGATTCACCTAAAGAGGAATGACTGCGCTAATAATATAATTAAATACCTTTGTCATTTTAGGTCCAGATTTGCTGCTCGGTCCTACATTCGAGATGTATCCACTGCCACTACCACCGCCTTGTTGTCCTGGTTGATTCGGTGCAGGTTGAGATAGACCATTGCTTGGATATAATGAATTTTGAGTTTGCGAAGATGGTTGTGAAATATTGAGCAATGGAGGGCCATTACTAGAAACATCTTCAAGTCTTGGACGTTTACTGGTGTGTTGAGATTGCGATAATGAATTTGGTGGAACTCCGCCATTTAAATATGGTGGTTGAGCAGAACTGCTTCCAACTTGTGGAACATTTGGTGATGGTCCACTTGGACCAGGATAACCAGGATGAGATGTAGGCGGTGGCTGTTGCTGTTGAGAAGGATCTAGAGACATCTGTGGAGGAGCGACGAGACCTGTTTGACCACCACCACTCATAATTCCGCCGAATAAGTTTGATTGACCTTGACCGATATTTGGAGGTTGTGGGGGAGGATGAGACGGTGCTTGTTGATGAGCTCCACTTGTAGATTGGTGAGGATGCAAACGTTGTTGTTCTAAATCGCGATTAAGTCGCATTATTTCACTATCATATCTAATTGTTTGAAAAAAGTTATTTTTTGTTACAGTGCAATGAATGCGTTTATCAATGTTTTATCAAGTTACTTTTGTTTTATTTGCTGTTGAGTGGCTTGTAGATCAAACAATCCTTGTCGAATCAAATTCACTTCTTCCATTTGTTGTTGAACTAAACGAGAGGAGGCAAATAAAAGGGAATTAGATATATTGAAATATATAATAAATATCCAACATTAAGAATCAACAGCTAAACTATATTATTTTCGAGTAAATATCTAGATTTATATTCGGTTGTTAATGAACACGTGACGAAAATGGCGTCATTTTATAATGTTACACAGACAAAAGTGTAAATGAGAGCTTTCTTGGTGGCGCAGCAAGAATTTATTTCAAAGAAATAATAATTATCTACACCAACCTTTATGCTCAAAGTCATCTCTCTGCATTTTATAAGAGACAGCTTCTTGCTGAAGATTATCGTATTCACTTTTCAGAGCTTCAAAGAGCTCGGTTATTCGATTCGTCGCTCCCTGTGGTGTAGGGATTATCTGTCTATGGTTATAAATGTTTGACATGATTTTGCCTGTTATCTGTATTAGCAATGATTTCGCCTTTGATGTCTTGTATTGATAATGTAGGTAGTGTCAAACCAAAGCCAAGCTATATAACGTGAAAGGCTAGTTTGGTTCGCAACGGTGCCTGAGTAAGAGAATAATTGACGAGAGAATGGTTATGATTTTGTGAATGAATGCAAAAGAAAAAAATTCAATTGACGAAGAAGTATAGTCTTCTTTTGGATAATGTATTTTGGTTGTTATAAATGTTGGGTGGAAGATTTTTGTCTCGCGGGGAAGATAGGAAAGCAAGCAAATATTTACAATGGGTCAATTTGGGAAAGTTTAAGTTGTATTTACTTACCCTTTGTTAGATGGAGGAAGAAGAGAACACCAATGAAATATTAGAAACGCGAATTGATCTTTAACGAAAAACAAGCGAAACAGAAAATGGTGTAATAATAACAACAATAACAAAACAAATAACAATATAGATAGCGGAAGTGGTAGAAGTTGGTGAAGAAATAAGGGAGGCACAACCAAGAAAGGCGAGCTGAAAAAAATAGTAACAAAAGCGACAGTAATAGCAGTAAGCAAATAGTCACAGGCAGTAAATAGTAAGTAGATGATAAACTAGAATTGCATAGTGCGAAAAAAAAAGGTTGGGGGTATATGTGGGTGAAAATTTGATCAAAAAATATAGAGGAACACATCAGACGTCATTTACATACTAACTAAATTTGGTAGTACGAAGTAAAATAAATAAATAAAAAAGTTATACAATATAAATATAAATCAATAATAAATCATTTAATATATAATATAAGGTTTTTTTTACCTATTTCCTATTGATAGAAAGGAGTTCTGTTCTTGAGTCAACTTCTTACATACACATTTACACATACACACACACACACACATAAATCATAAATCATGCATCTCTAGTGCAGTGTAACTACTCGATATATATGTATTCACTCGGACCTTACTCAGATTTTTTGGGTAACAATGCACCAGGGCGATTACAGATATTTTTTTTTTATTCGTAGTAAATTTATTTCACATAATAAAAATTTTATTTTATATCGCTATTCCGAATCAACATCAATGCTAATCCATTTAATTTGTTTAGTTGATTATACAAGAACATAACGACATATATTACTTTGCTCACTAACGCTAATGCCTAATAGAGATGATATCGATATATTTTTTTTATATTTGATATTGTGTCTCTTTAGTTTAGATAAAAAAAGGAGAAAAATGATAAGTGATTGATTGATGACAATAATAATCCTTATTTATTACATGTCTGTTTGAATCAGGCGTTCATTTGATTAAATAATAATAATAATGATTATTGAGTGTACAAAAAAAAATAACACTTGATGGTGGTATTATCTACTATTATTATAAAATAATATAAACAGTAGTAAGATGCTTTGGCATTTGATAACAATAAACGATTATAACAATATTTGTTAATAATTAATATCCGTGTTTAATCGGATTTTTATCAAAGAACTTCCGTCGACATCACGTTATCCAACAAAAACACTTTATCCTTATTATTGCATACATATATTAATTTGAATTTCCGGAAAAATACCACTCACCCTCATTCACACAGATCTCCAGATTTATATTAAAACCAGAATAAATTTTGCCGGCTTTATCGTAATCGTTAATGCTGATCAGTATGTTACATGTACATACATGCAAGAATGCAAGTGCGAATTTTTGGGAAATGATTGACCAGAGAATATTATCATTCATACATGGTACAATTTGGTTAGTGCGATCTTTATCTATGAAATCGATGATTTGCATTTTATGTAAAAATTACATGTGCATTAGTTGCATTATTAATTATGCAATTGTGTGTTGATGGCAAAAGCAAAATCGCGTTTTATATGTAGAATTTTTCTATGGTTTAGATCAAAATAGGAAATTCATTTTGATTATTTTTTTGGTTTTTTTATCAATGCTCTCGATTACAATAAATAAACAAAATTTATGAAAATCAAAGTATGATAAATAAAACCTTTCCTTTGATTTATCTCCTTACATTGACATCGCCATGTAATTTAAGTATGATCGACACGATCGATGGCTTACTTAGCATTTACCACTACCCAATTGCCCAAAGACACATTATAATTTAGCTTGGGCCGTCTCATCCGTGTACCATGCCATTTCTACTTCTTTACGTGTAAAGCTATTAACAATGTTTTTATGATTGAATACGACGTGCGTGAGGTGATAATAATTATTATTATTACAAAAAAATCAAATTAAAGTAAAAAAAACTTACCCGCATTTTTCATAGAATGGCACATTCTATCAAATATTTATTTATAGCAACACACGAGCATATAAAAAACCAGCGGAAGCAATTAAACAAGTTTGTTTAGGTTAACGTGAAATAATTTGTCGTACTTTCCAGGTTGAATCTCTAAATCTCTTACCTCTTCGGAACAATCTAGAATAACTATTTTTTATGTATATAAAGGTGGAATAATATTAATATTACATAACCAAAAAATGAAGAAAATATATACGCATATACATATGAAAGTACCTTTGTAACAACCAGTTTTTGCACCTATATATTTCAACGCTTGAATAACTCTATCAAGAAAAACACATTAGATATATATAATGAAAATTTACATAACATCGTTTCAAGTTATAGATTGTATTTACCTTAAACCAAGCTTTTTCCCTTGCTGATTCTTATCAACAGCAATATCCTCGATGTGACCAACCTAAAGAAAAATGGAAAACTTGTCTAATAACTCAAAAATCAGTTCGTCACAATTTCGCAATTTTCTATTATTTTACTTGATGTTCTAAAAAAAATCAGCAATTTACCAGACCAGTATTATGGATAAACTTTCGCTCGACAAAAATCGTTCCCGCCCCAATAATTGTATCAGACGGGTCGGTGATCACGATAGTGAAATATTCGTGATTGTGTTTCTTTAGATAGTTATAACGCTCTAAAAACATATTTTTCCAATCGGTAAACACGCAAATTCTGCAGATGGTTTTTTTTACTTTAAAAAGAATAATAGCTTTGTACCAAGGAATTGCGCTTTAGAAATATCCCCTATAACAGTCAACACCGACAGAACCTTCAAAAAACCATGTTCATAATCATCACTTGACAACGGACGAAGTTTATATCCAGGAGGTAATGCCTTTTGAACTTCGGGGGAGATGAGGTCGGTGGAGAAAAGAAGGTTTTGGGATGCCATATTATATATATATATTATTCAAAAATACGATAAAGCATAAATATTAAGTACGATTCTTCAAAATCGAGTGCGTCATGCATGTGTACGATCAATTCGTCGATTTTATTCATTTGATTAATTTGATTATTAAATATGTGAAAATTTTGGTGTTACACTTAAAAAATATGACTAGTTTGATCTTGCATGTCGTTAAAATTTGTTGACGCAAAATATCACGCAAAAATATCACGCGAAATATCACGAAATACCAGGCTAAATATAGTGAAGAAGTGAATGCGATATCTTTACTTCGTGCTGAATTCTTTTGATTTCGAGGCAACTAACCGTTGCCTACCAAATCAAGCGTCATAGACTTGCATCATTATCACCATCATCATCATCATCATCATCAGCATCATCATTGTCATGATCATTGTCATTGTCATCGTCAAAATTAGGATAAGTACTGCACCAATTTTTCAACCACAGTACCCATGCTTGGTCTCTGCATGATCAAACAACAATTAATAAAAATTAACTTAAACAAGGAACAAATTATCATTTACCTTTTTTGATTCTTTTTGCCACATATCCTGCATCAAGTTTATGAGAGACTGCGGATAAGTTTTTAATTTTTCAATCGGAGGCCTGATTCCTCTGTCTTTAACTAGTATACATTATATTTATAGGCATTAGTAATGATAAAGTATTTAATTGATGAATTAAATAAAGAAATTGTGTCACCTGCTTCATACAGTTGATGTTCAGAGTAATTTTGATAGGGATAACCTTGTTCACTCCATGTCAAGATTTCCCAGAAAATAAGTCCACACGCATATATCTGTAAATTCAAAAAACATAAATTAAAAAAAGGTAACTAACAAAGTACGTGTGTTTGTATTCAAAAAAAAGTACTAAGGAGAAAACATAAAAAACAAAAAGCTGATTTGGTCACTCACATCAACTTTTTCCGTGTATCTAGGATCTGATTGCCAAAATTCAGGAGCTTGCCAATTGGGGGTACCGCATTGTGTATGCATGCTAGCACACGCTTTTGTACGAATACGTGCCAAACCAAAATCGTTTATTTTTGCGCGCAAATTGGAGGAAATTAAAATGTTCATTGATTTTAAATCTCGATGTATTATACTGGGTCTACGATTATGTAGATAGGCAACACCTAGAGCGATATCATGCATATACATAATCTGAAATGACATAGATACAATAAATCAAGTTAGTATATAAATAATAAATTAAGATGACAGAGGCATGTTAATAACTATGATTTACCTGCTGGCTGAAAGTTGGTCTGGGCACTTTTCGCATGTAATCAAACAAATCTCCATTATCACACAATTCTGTTACAATGCATAGATGTTTGGCATTGGTGCATACGCCAATAAATTCAATGATGTTTTCGTGTCGCAATTGTCTAAAAATAAAGAGATATTGTTTGTTTTTCTATTTTTTTTGTTGGCAAGAGATTTATTTATAAACTTACTTGAGCACATCTATTTCATGCTTCATTTCTTGGAAATCTGATTCGGTGAAATTTACTATGCGCAGTTCACCAATAGCAACAGGATCCTATAGTTATTTCACGTTATTAATTAATTAATTAATTAATTAATTAATTAATTAATTATCAAAATTGATAAATTTTATAACTTACCCCTTCATAATTTCCCGCGTAACAGTCTTTGAATCCACCAGAACCCAGTTTTTTACCAACCTCCAATTTATCGTAATCAATAACTTGTAAATCACCACTTGAAAAGAACGTGCTCCAAAGAGCAGTGTTTAACTTCCCGGGTTGAGTACACGATGTTCCTTCGATCGATATTAGTCTGGGCGTTGAGGGAGCAGGAACTGGACGTGTATTTTGTTTCTAGATTATATATTGAGAGTATATTTTTTCAATAAGATGAACGAAAAAACTGATTCACTAAATATTTATTACAAATTAATTACCCAATCCAATAACCGTTTAATTAATTCTGCTTTTTCGCCTTCGGTGGCTAGACCTGTATTGATTAAATGATCAAAAAAATGAATCGAACCTTGCGGTTTTAGAAAATGTAAACATTAGAGCCAGATAAACTACCTCTTTCCTGACATAATGCTATCAAGTCGGCGAATATCATATTATTCAAGGTGTACCAGTTTTCTTTCTCTAAAACCTCGTCTAAGACATGAAGTACATTTCTATTTATTTATTTAAGCATAGAAGGTAAAAGCTGCCAAAAAATAATGTCGAAAAAACGTAATAATAATGTCCATTTTTTCCACTTACCCGTATGGTGGTCTAATGTTTCAAAACGTGCCATTTTTTTTTAATTTTTCAAGAAGAAAATGATTTCGGTTATATATTCGAGACATTTTTTGTAGTTTATCGTGTGTAACGTTCATGAATTACATCAAGATGACATCATGGCTCATCATAACCTTGATTTTGAGACATTGACTTGCATTTTAGAACACTTAATTTCTTCGCGTGCTTACCCAAATAGTGATAGTCCATGCACTGTTTGACATTATCGTTATAAGAAGTAACTAGAAAGATCAAGTACCTTGAACAAGGTAAACATTAGAATCTTAGGAGAGTTCCAAATTTTGACGTGTAAAAAAGAGGTAATGGGAAATGTGTCATGAGAACAAAGACACGAAGTGTCATTGTCATTTTCAATTGTTCAGTAAAAGGACATGATTAGCCAATGAATGTGATCGATTTCACATGATTAAGATTCGCAGTTTATAATATATTGATGATGACAAAAATGAGTTAAACAACACAGAAAAGCGAATTCAACTATTGACCTCCTTTGTTTTAACACCAGCAGCACAAAATGTAAAAAAAAAGAACGTCCAACTTTTTTTATTCTAGAAACTCGAAATGAACACAACAATAGAAGAAAAGCAGCAGCAGAGAAATTTTTTGCCTGCCTCTTCTCAGTTATCAACTATCAACGAAGACATTGAAAACCAAAGCGTTGATATTGATAAACAAGTCGTTCAATTGGAGATAAAGTAAATTTGACAATCGAGTTCATGAATAAGACAAGCGTGAAAAAGATTGATGAAGCTCGTATTTTACTCATTTGATCCTGAGTGGATCAAGAAGTTGCGGAAAAAGTTACTAAAGTAGTTAATGATGGCCATGACCGGCTAAATGCATTAGAAAATGGAATTAATCAAATCAAGTTTTTGAAAAAAATCTCTTTGATTAGCAACTTATTATGGTCTCAAAAGTTTAAAGTAAATTTGCAAAGTATGTTGAGAATATTTTCCTCAGTTAGATATAAAAACTTCGATGAATCGATTTTGGGGATCGCCGGTCGATACTACGCCTCTATCTGTTTTCTGGGATCCGGACATATCTCTCGCTACCCTTCAAACTTGAAAGAGTTACAGAAAGAGTTCACAAGCAAAAAATGAAGTTAAGAACCCGTGGATTTGGACAATGCATTCGAAAATGTGTAGAAGCATTTCGGAAGTTCTATATTTATAATTCCTAAATAACCTTGAAAATTGCAAAAGAAGTTGTCATGGTTCAGAAGCAAGCGATGTATCCTGTTCAAGCGAGTGGATTTTTTTTCTTAATAGAATATTAGTCTATATTATGTTACATTCCTAACAGAAGAACTATAAACCAGACTCTGGAAAAACGTTACAGGGAAGAGGGGAAAAACTGTGGGAAGAAGAGAAACGTAGAGAAGATGTTGAAAAACGTTGTAGGGATGCGCAAATTTTGATCAGCCCGGCAAAACAAATCCGACACAAGAAAACGAAAAATGTGAAAAATACGGGAAACAGATGCCTAAATCTAACTTGTAAATCTAATAAAAATGTCGGGGAGGTAATTTTACATTTAACACTAACCTAACCCTAAAATCAACCTTTAATAGTTGCCGGCGCATGTATGATTTGCGTACTCTTATTGGTTTGTTATCATGTGATCAGGAACCAAGCACAGATTCAATATTCGCGTAGGGATGAGGGTTAATATATCAACATCCAATAAATTGTCCTTGTTTGACGACAAATGTTCATTCTGCCAACTTGGACCCTGGGTACCTATGTGTCCAACAATCGCACCCGAGTATTGAGGCTATTGTTTTCGAGAAACGATGTAGAGAAGAGGTTGCTATGGTTAAGAAAAAGTTTCTGATAATGAGTTCTTCAGACTACGCAAAGTGAAAACAGAGATTTCCTTATTCCGTGGCGCTCTAGAATGGGTCAGAAAGCAAGTAGCGAAAAAAATTACCTTAGTGTCTCCCCCCTCCGGCTACTCCAATCGTCGACTACAACCGATGCGTCGAATCAAAGGTCCGAATCTTCAGTTGACGGATCATTCGAATTTTTGAATTAATTGCTGAATATGTGTGAAGCTAACAAGATGACTGAATCTCATGTGTGGGCAAGAAGCAAAATCGGGCCTCGATGGTAACCTCCTCTTGGTTGTACCCGTGAGCTTGCTTCAACACCTGATGATACAATCCAGCGATGCAAGCAAGGTCTTGGCTTTATTTTTAAGATTTACAATCCCCTATTTCTACGTTTGAGATCTAAAGCAAGGGTAGAAAGTAGGATGCACTATGGTATAAATCGAAATCTCGAATCAATTTCAAGAGTATAGGTACAAAAAGTCCTGCGTTTTACCTCGAGAGGTAAAAATTTTTTGCAAAGCATAATTTACACTAAAGTTATTTTCATCCAAATAGCACAGTAAAATATATCAAAGTGCAAGATGCAATCCAAAATGGAGATTCTATCAACATTTTTGACTCAATGATGAATTTGATGATTCAAAACTCCACGAAAGATTATCAACTAATTTTTCAAAATAAGGAATTGAAAAAGACAGTTTGAAGAATAAAGGTGTCATTGCTATCTATTTATAAAGATGAATTATTTATTGATTTTTGTTATCAATATGAAATAGTATTAATCGAGAAGCATAGGCTTATTTATCTAATTTATAAATAGTACTTCTTGACACATTATCGACAATTGGAAAAAAAAATGTAATGAAATATTTTTAATTAGCTGAAAACAGAAATGCTCAAATAAAATTACTAGCGGAAAGTATTGCCTCAGAGCTCACGTTACACTACTACATCACGTATCACGTGGTGATGAAATTTTGGAAGATAACTTGTCACAGAAATTCTCTGGAATCCTTGACAGTTTTTCAGAATGACATCTGGTATGATTTTTCTCTATGCAGAGAGAACTTGTTACTCCTTTAAACAAAGTATTAATCTCCTTTTTTATTAAAAAAAAAAGCATCTTCGAATAGCACATATGATCGCATTAGACATCGCTTCGAATTCGAGAATGAAACATTCAGTTCTTTGTATGTAGACAGTAATAAATATTTTAAAAAACTGGTACGAATTCTAAATTTACATTCAAATTAACCAAAAGATACAAAACCCTCGAGAATAATATCTCTCAATTGACAAGATCTGAAAGAGACAAAAATTTTGATTCTCTGTATGTTGATTAACATTTATAATAAAATTAAGTTTTTTTAACTGTGACTATTAATAATTTATGTTATTTCAATGTTAATGATAATAATGATGATAATGATAATAACGATAATAATAATAGACACAATGAAGTATTTGAACAACATAAAAACGATGATGATTACTTGTTCGTGCGGAATATCTATTTCAAAACCTTGTAGGTGTACACTTTCCTTTAGAAATTCTTTTTGATTTTTTTTAAATACAGAATCACATAATTACTAAGATTGTCAGACATGAAGAATGTCAAATGATAGGGGTAGCAGCAGCTAAACCAGAGATTGTCATTGATCGAGAAGATGATCGACGAGAATCACATAACCAGCAGATACCAGTTAACCCGATAGATAATAATCCTCGCCAAATAAATGACAATCCTGTAACAATTGAAACGAAAGAAGAAAGTGTATCTCAAAAAACACATTCCAATATCATCGATTTGATTTCCTCCTCATCCTCCTCATCATCATCACAGACACCTGCACCGTATAAAACAAAACCCTTGTCTGAAGCCGATCTGAGAGATGAAAGGATGGCCATTGAGCTATCTGGTGACGTTATAGCAGTTCAACCAACAAATGACCAGGATGATATTTTATATTCATTGGACTCGTCTATTGTAATACAAGGACCTGTCCCAGAAACGAATGAAATCCAGGATGAAGTAAATGAAGATAAATCTAAATTGCTAGAAACTCCTCTACAAAAGAATGATGATCACATAATAGCCGAAGAAACTGTATTACGGCGGACACGTTCCAGAGTCTATACATTATCAACAACACCTGTACTGCGTAAATCAAAACGCCTACAGCAAGATGATGCCGAGACGGCCTCTGAAACTGATTCTGAGCCATCTAGTACTATCGATACTCCTACTCGAAAACAGAAAATCAAAAAATATCGAGTAAAGAATCAGCGATCATCGATTTCTGGAACAAGGAAGACTGACTATGATGAATCTATCAAGCAGAAACTTCCTAAACGAATACGTCGTGGAGAGTAATTATAAGGGTAAAATTGTCGAAATTAATGAAATCATTTCTTTTTTTAACTTGCTTAACAAAATAGAAAAGATTATCACGGGAACGGAAAGGTCGTGTCATCTCTCACTTTATTCTTATCAAACGAAATCAAGATATTAGTTATAAATTGTAAATATAGATCCTATAATGTCGAACTTTTAAAAGTTGTTTCATTCATACATATATCCGGCAGAAGGGCCAATTTAATGATATGCCTAATTGGTAAAAACCTCACGTGAAAACACTGAAGCATCCATGTCAAAAAAACATTCACGAGAATAATATAACTTTCGAACTATACACATAAATCTACCGCAGTATTGTTGCTATTTGTTGTTTCTAAGCAATACAAGACAAACATACATCGTTAACACAATTAATTGTATTTACAAGCTACGTCGTGGTCCTCTTCATCCATGGCAGAAAACATCGTTCACCCTGTGATTATTCACCCAATGGTAGCGCCACAAATAGAGCGAATGATTTGGCACTCTCTTGACAATTACCTGTACAGAAACGCGACATTCTTGGCTGAGAGGCTGTACGCATTTGATAAGGAAAATGAAAACGCGCTGTATCTGTTGGCCACTTGTCATTATCGTAGTGGAAACCGAAAAAATGCTTACAAGTTACTGCAAGGGTCACATTCACCAAAATGTGTTTATCTTTTCGCGAAATGTTGTCTAGAATTAGATAGAGCTGAAATTGGCAGAGAGAAATTATTATCAATCCTGCCCGAAGTCGAAGGTCACGATAGTTTGGGTAAGGATTTGTTTTTATTTTTTGTAATTACTTTTCAACCCACAGGAAACGCGTGAATCTTTTGACGAGGATGGAACGTGTTGAATGACTTATAATAATCTCTTTGATGTTCTATTGTTCATTTCAAAGATATCCCGGGTGATCCTTTCAGATGTGACAAACCAGACGAATCAGTCGTCTTATGTTTGTTAGGGGCTTTATGCAGAAAAACAAAAAGTATTGATGAAGCCGCGCTACACTATATGGCTTGTTTAAAAAAGAATCCATTTATGTGGGAAGCCTTTGAGGCGCTTTGCCAATTAGGTACTTGAAATTTGTTGTATTGATTCGATGCTCTTTCATTTATTAATTCGATGACTTTTGATAATACAATCCATAAATTATTAATTGAAAATAGGGAAATCGACTCAGATTGATTTACAAGAAATATTTCAACCACCCAATGATAAATCAACACCAAGGATTCCCTGTACAGATATACTACGTCCACAATTCATATCATCAAAAATAGTATGTCTACATAATTCGTTATTAACAGATCGTTTATTTTTATTGACTTATGTGTATTTACGAATTCTCATTAACAATAGCTTTCAAGACCAGAACGAGGGAATCATGCAGCGACTCCAAGGCGAAGTTCAAGGATTTCATCAAATAAGGTTCATAGATATAAAAATAAAATTTTCAATTATAAACTTCTAATTAACAAAGTTCCTTTTTGATGATCGTCAAAAGTCGACAACAATTCAATCACAATCATTGATAGATACCAGGGAAAAGAAACGAACACGTATTATGAATGAAGAGAAAACTAGCAATAATACTACTATGATGTCAATTGACGATGAGAACAAACGATCAAGAACAAACATTCACTCTAACAAACATGTGACGGATTTCGAGAATGAAGGTGTAAGTAATCTAGGATTGATTTATCACGATATGAAAAAGACGAAATATTTATTAACCTTGAGTATCTTATATATGAAGAAAGGAATAGAAGATACGAAAGAAGACCAACACATTAAATTTAATAATAATACTTCAGATGATGATCGTAGAATAGCACGAATTGAAATATTGGATCTGTTGAAAAAATGCGCGCGAGGTCTTTCATATGTCAGTGAATTTGAGTGTCATAAAGCAATAGCCGCTTTCGCCGAACTACCTAAAGCTCAATATGAAACGCCTTGGGTTTATGCCCAACTTGGCAAAGCTCACTTTGAATTAGTCGATTATCCAAGGGTATATACAAAAATTAATATAATTAATTACACCCGAGATTATAACCATTAATTAAATCTCTAATCAATTAATACATTTTTTCGTTAAACAAGGCTGAACATTGTTTTCAATGGGTACGAAACGTTGAACCTTTTCGAATGGAAGACATGGAAATATATTCTACAGCGCTTTGGCACATGCGTAAAGATGTCGCTCTGAGCACTTTAGCACATGAACTTGTAGAGTATGATCGCCGGTCACCACAGGCATGGTGTGCAGTCGGTAATTGTTTTAGTCGTCAACAAGAACAGGACATGGCATTAAAATGTTTTCAACGTGCAATACAATTGGATCCGTCGTTCACTTATGCACACACGTTGTCGGGTCATGAATGTATGGCGAATGGAAATTTCGAAAAAGCGCAAGAACATTTTCGGAATGCTATTAACACGAATCGACGTCATTATAATGCTTGGTGAGAAATTATAAACATATTTTTTTGAGCTGTTAATTTCTGTATAGAGTAAATCGATATTCAAGTTTATTATCATTAACTAATATTTCAGGTATGGATTAGCCAATTACTATGCAACTTGCGGTAAAAAGCAATCTGCTGAGCGTCATTATCGAGCTGCACTGGATATTAATCCTAATCACGCGGTTCTTATATGTTGTTTAGGAAAAGTGAGTAGAAGCTTTCGAGTTTTCATTTTTTTCTGGTAATAATATTAATGATAATTTGGAACGGTAGGTATTAGAAAAAATGAATAGATTTCAAGAAGCCCGTGCTCTATATGATCGTGCATGTGAAGTAACACCCAATACACCCCTTGCTAAATTCAAAAAAGCCAAATCATTATTCCGAGAACATGAGTATCAGGTACTTTTTTATTTTTTTACACTACATACAGTTTGATATTCTATATTGTAATCACTATCTCTAAATATAAATACATATTACAGGTGGCAATTAAGGAACTAGATGCGCTCAAAACTACAGTCCCCAAAGAACCTAAAGTCTATTTCCTACTAGGGAAGATCTACAAAGCGCTCGGTGACCGAGTTAATTCCACGCAAAATTTTACGGCTGCATTACAGCAAGACCCCAAAATGGCGCACGTTATAAAGAGTGCGATGGAGAAACTCGATCCTGATCTAGGCAATGATTCAAGTATGGCGCTGTCGAATACTTGATTTATTATGACTAGTACACTTAATTTGCTTAATTATTATATGTAAAAATTTTTTCTCTTAATTTATATATAAATATATTATTTTCAAGTATTGCTTTTATTATCGTTATTTTCTATACGGATAAAACTTTAATTTAGTAATTTGAGCAAATTAAATAGATTATAGTCACATCAAAATGAATCTTATATTACAGAAATTTCCAGCTAATGTGAAATTTGAGGTATTTCTGTGTAATATTATAATAATATCAGCTTGCCAAACATAATGCTTGACGCATCACTTGATTCTTCCAACAGGAAAAAAAATATCAACCACACATTAACCCAATCCCAAATCCAACCACAAAAGCGGTATCAGTATGAAACATTTTCTTGAAAAAATCATATACATTCTGAGCCACCTCTTTGAAATCCCGTTGTACAGTAGCTCCATCAGCACCAATATCATCCAACATATTATTGTAGGTCTGTTCAATTCTACCTAAATTAAATGGAATATGATATCCGTGTGCGTCTAATACTTGAATCAACACAAACGAAGCGCCAATTGAGAACGCAACGAGTTGACTCGCTTTTTTTACAGAGTATCCTGTCGCGAATCCCATTGCTCCGCCTAATGCCATTTTCTTGATATTTGGTGGTATTTTTGACGTGTTGTCGCTGTTGTCATTATTGTTACGGGGTGTTGGAATGTGATGCATTGGTCGTCTAGTATTGTTGTTTTGAGTTCTAGAGAAAAAAGGAGAAGGGGGTACGGTTGGCCCGATTGGATCACTTTTACGTGTAAGATCTAATTTGTCATGAAATAAAGTTATTCTCATGAACAAATTATCAATACATATTTGAATTGAGAAACAAACCTACGCAATACGCGACATTCCCAAAGCTTTGTAAGGCGATTCCAATACCAAAAACACCAAATGATTTCAATATATCTAAATTATTTATTTTTAACGGGATCCTGGGCCCCGTATATAATATACAATATGGGCTATAATACTCATTTCTCTGTTTTATCAAAGTTCGAGTAGTATCTATGATTTTTGCTGTTGTTCATTATTAATAATGATCCAAGAAATAGGAAAACGTTAAATTTTGCAATAGATAGAAAAAACAAGTATCGCTTCCAGTTTTATATTAACCTTTCCTTTTATCAGTTGTGTTGAAAAATACCTTCAAAGAAGGCCAGAAGCTATGGGATTGCGTGGACACGAGAGAAAAACGCGCTGTTCCTAATAGAGGGGATATGGATGATGTTTTCAACATTGAAAACGATGAAAACTGAAGATGTGTGTGAAACATTTCACCAAGGGGTGGCCGATCGAACAAAATAAATCGCTAACTACGTAAAATTCTTGTCCCAGAAATTTGACTACTAATATTTTATAATTTACACATACATCAAACGTGATTATATCGAACAGAATGATATTTCGGATTAATAGTTATTAAAATTTCATAAAAGATTCTAGCAAAGAAACCGCTTTATTCTATAATTTACTTTATTATACAGTCAACCGAAATAGGTTATTTAGTAAATTCGAACCAACTTCGATTTATCGAGGCTGGTTTACTATATATTTAAATTTGTCTTTAAATTTGGAAAAGATGGTTAAGTATTTTTGGATAAGTATATTGATTTGCTATAGCATTATTATTTTTGGTATAGTTGTGCACTGCAACTTTAAATAAGTGATATTGATTTGTATAGTTGTGCACTGTAACTCTAAATAAGTGATATTGATTTGTATAGTTGTGCACCGCAACTTTAAATAAGTGATATTTTCTTTAGTTATTCATTTTCTTTGGTATTGAAAGCATTAAAGTGTATGACTACAAGTATAGAAACATCAATACTCTTTTCTTTAGTTAGTAACTCTTATTAGTTAATCATCTCTTTGAACACATTCTCCCAACCTCTCTTTTCATCTTTGATAGAATTGTTTAACAATTTCTGTCAAAATTGGCACAGGTTTAGATATTTATTTTTGCACTGATCAATTTTATTAGTCTATTCCTCTCTCCCAATTCATATGACTCTTTTACTAATAGTGAAGAAACCCTTTATTTAAAATAACTGTAGCATATTTTGGTGCCTCCTCTGTGAACTCCTCAAATTATCAAACCCCTTTTTCTTTTTCTATTATCATTTAATTAATTTCCTTATTTCATTAAAAACCAATTACCAAAAACAAATTCTCTTTTTATAACTCTCTTTGTGAATATTTATATTCCAACCCTTAATTAAAACCTCTTTATGAACAATTATTATAACTTTATTGGAGAACTACTACTTCACATTTCAACACTCACCTGGAAAATTAACACTGAGAAACAATATTTCAAATAACTCAACAATATTATTGTCATATCTGCTTTCCACCTTCTGATATAGCAACTGAATCCTTAACCAATTTTTTTAACTGGATTCAAAAATGAGGTGCAATATCTGGATCTTTCATCACTGAACAATTATTTGAAGATATTATTATAGCAGATCTTAACATCCTTGAAAGAGAAGAACTATGAAGACAAGTAATTCAATTATTAAATACTCTAATTTATTAAAATTAATATATAGTTAAACATCAACTTTTCTTAGTCAAAACAATACTTGAAGGCTTTCTCAACCAAGAATTCAAAAAAGATCTGACAGCTTTTACTCTGAAACAACTAGCAATACAGAAGTAACTGAAGTAAATCACTTCTTTATTGGCAGTTACAACTTTATACCTGAATTCAATACATACTCTAATTTCTCAGTATCCCATTTTGAAATAATCACAATGATCATTCAAGCAATTATTGATGCAATTGATAAATTAATTCTTTCACTAAATCATAGAAATAATGAAAAGATGGTTATCCAAATCCAAAAATACAAAGGTGAAGATCAAGATCTTGTAGAATGGCTTCAAGATTTTGAAGTAGTAGCACTAACTAATGGAATTATCGATAATTGAAAAATTCAAGTTGTCTGTGGATATTTTAAAGGTGCTACCATATCATGGTTTGATGAACAACAAAATTTACTAAATGATATCCTATAAGACTGGACCAATAGTAATCAAGATCATACAAATTTCAAATTTTGCTTCGAATAACAATTTAGAACTTAACAAAAACTGGACAGATAGTAAGATGAGCTTGAAACTTTGCAACAAACTGGATCTGTTGAACAGTACACCAATCAATTCAATGAGTTAATTCACAAAGTGAATCCTGATAAAAATTACCCCTTGTCATACAAGAAAAGAATATATTAATATTGATTGAATTCAACTATTCAAAAATGGATCACTTTTCAAGATGAAAACATCTTTCAAGAACTTATTGATGCAGCAAAACTATCTGAAGAAGCTGAAAAAGAAATTGTACCAAAACCAAGTCATCAAAATCTAGCACAAAATTTTTCTGATATGATTATCCTGGCTTCAGCTATTTAATAAATAGCCATTTGATTGGATAAAATAGAAAATAAATTATTATAATAATCCTGAAACTTTGAAAACTGTAATTAATATATTAAATACCTACTTATTATAATTATAGAGAAATTGAACACACCTTTAAAATGTGTAGTCAACTCTTCAATCCTGAAAATTTCTGATGAAATGCAAGCCTAAACAACAATAATTGGAGAAATCAACTAAAACAAAATCAAAACCAAGGCAATAATGTTCAAAATAATATTAGCTATAATAATCAACCAGCAACAAATAATTTCAATACAATAAATATCACAGCTCTTTTAAACCAATTATAACTATTACTTACAGCTTTACAATTCATAAATAATGAACAACAATCTTCATTTAACAACCCTCCTAGAATCACTCTTCTTGTAAACAAATAATATAATGCAAATAAAAGAAAGAAAACCAAAACAAAGTATAATGATGATGTCATAATAGAAGATGACACTAATGAAGCTAAACCAAGTAATTCAATTATCAATGTCCTACTCCCAAACATGCAAGAACCAACTGTATCAATCAAAATTGTTGAACTTGAAAAATGAGTAAGAAAGAAGAAAGGCAAAGCAATACTACCAGTTCTTGCTGATTAATCCTCACCTTATGACATCTTAGAAGATATGGTCGATGCAAAAGCAAATATTTCATTTGGTCAACTCATTCGAACTTTTCCTGAACAAAAACTCAAATTATTCAAAGGTTTGAGAAAATTAATTAAATCTAAAAGAGTCTCAAAATGTAAAACTATAATTGAACAAAAGCTAAGAATCACCTCAATCTGGTGTGAAGCAAAAATTGGAACTGTACCAATTGATCTAATTCTTGATACTGGAACATCTGATTGTATTGTAAGCTATGAATTCTTAAAAAAATGAAATATCAAGATCCAACAAAAATCTGAAGTCGCTATGACTAATATTACTGGAATAGTTAATCACCCTCTTGGAGCTATTGATAATTTTCCAATTACTGTTAACAAACTCACTATTCCAGCTAATGTCAATGTTACCTCCACATAAACTTATAGTATAATTGTTAAAATGAATTGGCTTAACAAAATCAAAGCTAATTTGAATCTTAAAAAGAACATTATAATTTTTGAATAGAATGATCAGAAAAAATAGGTCAATATTAAATTTATTTATGGTCAAGGTTATGATTTACCTAATACTAATAGATCTGATAACTCAAGTACCTCTAATAAAAGCTTAACTAACAACAAATTAGAAGTTGAAGAACAATACTTGGAAAAATGATCTTTCTTAATGTAACAATAACAATGGCAAACCCAACCACGAAGAACTAAGAAAACTATTATCTTCAATAATGAAAAAGATATACTGTTATCATTTCATCAAAAAAATTCATAATTATTTAATTATTGATCAACAAAAATTAAGATGTATTACAAAAAATATTAATGTTACATTATGTAACTCAATGATGATCAAATTAATTTGCCTCTTTATTTTTACATTATATTTCATTAACGATTATATTTAGTATATATCATTACTATTTTGATAGCTAGATCGTAATATCTAAATATTAATCACATTTTTGTACATTTTTTGTTTTATTTTCTTTTACTGTTGCACTAAAATTATTTATTCTTGTATTTTTTACTATAAAACTTATATTTTTATTATTGATTTATCTCATATATACCTCTATCACATTTATTTTTATCTTTTTATTTCATTATTTTTAACCAATCATTTATATATTAATTTTTTATCTCATAATTTCTTTATTATAATTATTTATTATTATATTCGTATTATTATTTTCTTTCTATACAACACTTTTTTTTACTCAAACTCTTGCTTTTTTTTATTTTTAACCACTAGAATTACAACTAATTTTCTTTTGTATTTTCTTGTTAATGAATTTGTGTAATTTTTCAATGTTTATATTATTAGTATTGTATATAAATTGTGATATAGTTTAGAATAATCATTAGTTTTGTAAATTGTGTAAAAGATTGAAAATGTATAAAAGAAGAGTCTCTTGTCACTAGAAACTCTCATGCT